CCTCCCTCCCTCCCTCCCTGCCTCCCTGCCTCCCGGTCGGGCGCTAACGAGTACGCATTTTCTTCTCCTCCAGGGGGCAGCGGCTGGACAACACCTTCCAGGTAGGTCTGGAGAAGCGCACACACTAAACAGCATCGGTCTCCGATAGGTTTCGGTGCCCGGGACCTTTATAAACCATTTTCCCATAAAATCGATCTTGGTGAGATGACCTCTCACCCCCCCCCCCCCTTTCTCTTTATCCAGTCCGTTTGCCGTTTTCAGAGTTACTGTTTCTTTTGGGGGGTAACCCAAGTCGAACATTTGAACACACTCAGTGCCTCTTGAATGACAAGAAAAATTCGAACCAAAACCAGCAAACAGGGCGCGCCAACTGTAAATCGACATCGTGCGACACTACCCCTCGCTTCTACGGTTTTTCGCGCCGTGTATGCTGGGAAGGGGTTTGGTTGGGCGTCACTCGTTGTGCAACACCTCATAGCCGCCGCCGGGGGCGTGGGTGTCCACCCAGAGACACCTGTCCTCCATTCAATCAAACACGAGATGTCGTCGTCTCAACCAAACGTCAGGGTGGGAGGGTTTTTTTTTTTTTAGGAAAACTGGATTGGGAAGTTTGTACCTGGGAGGTGTCTCCGGAAGACGGTGATGAACGCAAATACCTAACTTAAAAAGTAGAAAGAAAAATAGCTCTAACACACTGGGTGGTCCGTCGGCGAGCTCCTGATTGTTCTACTGTACCGGATGCAGGGGTGCGGACGGGTTGCATACTCGCACAGCGCCTCGGTGATCGACGTTAGGCAAGCCCACCCACCTGCCTGCACTCGGTACGGTATAACCGGAAGCAAGAACGGCGCTAACGGGCCACGCTGTATATTTTGTAACTAAAAACTACAATAACACATGTTGTAAATTTACGACGATGTTTTTTCACCGCGTCCGCAACTTGGACGCCTCTCTTCATGGCCTCGAGTTTCCACAGGACTGCTCGCCCGGCCCCGCGCACTACCGTGCCACCGGGCTGGACGTGAGCCGCTGGAGGATGCCGCAGTACACGATGGCCAAGCGCACCGCCCTGCCCGGGGACCGCTCCCTCAAGCCCGCCCCCAACGCCTACAAGCCGAGCTACAACACGCACCGCAGCCCCCCGGAGGTGAGCCCACAAAACTGTGTGACAGACGTGTCACACGTTTCGATTTTTGTTTGTGGTGTGGATTTTTTTTTTTCTTCATTATTTTGGTAATTGTCTCACTTTTTTGTGAGGAAATATATTTGTGACACGCAATGTTAATATTTTTGGGGGAGTATCGTGCGCACTTTGTGGACTGCTTTCCTTACTCTGTCTCCAGTTCTCGTTCGGAGTGAGACACACGGACTGCGAGTTCGTCCCCCTTACGGATGAGGACAAGCACCCCCCTGGCTGCCCGTAACCGTCGCCACCGGAAAAAGTCTTTTTTTTTAAAAAAAAATGTTAAAGTTAAAATAATAATAATAATAATAAAAATAGTAAAATGTCTTTAGAACAACAATAAAAAAGTTCAGATACATTTGGTTTGCGTGGCGTTGGTGATATCGTTGCAGAAGTTCGGTCTGCGCGCCGCGATGCATGCTCGCGCGTGGACTTTCGTGACGTCATTTCCGCCTGTCTCGCCCGTGTATGAGAGTTTCATTGACCCACTCGTTTGTTGTTTTTGTATCACAGACGACTCCACTCCGCACATACATTCTTTCACTGTTCGTGATTACATATCGTTATTTTTTTTATTGATCCTTAAGTTTAACGCTTGCACCTTGCACCGGTGGATGCCGTACCGCCATGAAATATGGTTTCCTGACGACGAACAACGAACAGTCGAGCTGACACCGAGATTTGTGCGGTTGTTTTTGTAGAACACCTGTAACCTCGCGTGCCACCCGCCAGTTGTTTTAAGGGAAGCTCAGGTGAGACTAAAAGATATCAGCCTTCGTTTATGACTCGTAATATGAGTTTTTTGCTCTTGAAAAACGCATGGTTTTAGTTATTGTGGCTCTCTTACAATTTTAAGCTCCAGCCTGTCAATTAATGTTATTACTTTACCTTTTTTGGAGCGGTCATGAGGTTGTTATATAACCAGTGTTTATTTTCTGATCACCCAGTATATATTGTTATGTTACTTAATCTTTGCTTGTATTTTTATTGTTTTAAATTTGTTTTTGCCTCCTTACAAGTTTTTTAACTATAATTTGGTTGTTGGTTTCTAGCAAAAAAGTGGAGAATCAATGAAACTTGAGTAGAGCAACATGCAGGACATGTTGAAAATGATGTACATATTGGCAGAGACTGATGACACTTCAGGTATATCAACACCTCTTAAATCTACAAATAGAATCAAGGTAATGATTGCCAAATTGTGCTTTGTTAAATACCTGTATTTCTATGAACTTTAATTTTGGACCCCTTATATGATTTCGTAGTTCTTAACATTTACCGCCTCAGAGAATTTAATTGTTTTCGGAGCAACAAGTGGTGGTCTCTACGTGTATGATAGAGAAACATACAACTTCAAGTCGCTAGTGCCAAGCAAGGTTTGGATTTTGAATTGTACTGCATTATCACTGCATGATAATACATCTGTTGTATACTAACTTTTGATTTCCAGGAAGGCCCTGTTTTATGTGTTCAAATATCTCCTGATGAAAAGTGGTTTGGTTTTTCCACTGGGCGTGGTATCAGTTGTGTACTGGAACACCATGGATCATCTGTTAACCGTAGAATATTATCGCATGTTCATGAAGGGAAAAAGGTAACAGCTCTTCAGTGGAATAACAGTAGCACACAACTCTATGTTGGTGACGACTCTGGACAGATTTCTGTTATAAGTGTCTCATCATACTTGGTCAGTATTCACGGGTTCCTCAGACAAAATGTGGAAATAAATGTTTGATATAAGAGGTGGATAATTGAACTATATTGAACTCCATTTTTAATTAATAGACCCCTGCTGTGGCGCTGATGCAACTGGATTCTGCAATCATCCAGCTTGATACATGTAGCTATATGCTGCTTGTCTCTACTTTCACCCGATCATATCTTTGTGATACCTTTCGGGAACAGTATCGCCAAATTGGAACTCGCTTAAGGGATGGAGAATTTGGTGGATGTTTCTACCATGTCAATCCATATGAACCTTCAACTGAACCACATCATGAAATAGGCTCTGGCCTGAAGGATTCCCATGGCCCTTTTAGGTAGGTTGTTGATAGATGCTAGTCAGTAAAAATTTCTGTATTAAAATCGTGACTTTGGAATGGACTAAATTGTTTTTATTTATAGTTCATTGAGTGATGGAGAATGGCTGCTGGCAGACAAGCACCTTCAAAATATCAAGATCTTCTGTGCTCGCCCTGGTCTACGTCTTTGGGAAGTTCGTATTGATGGAGCTGTCATGAGCACACATCAATTTAAGCAATTACAATCCACTCCTCCAGTACATGTTGTAAAGCCCCCTGATGTGGAAACTGAGAAGGTGTTTGAGGGGGGACACCATGTACTCCAATTTAAAAAGCTCTGCAAAGTATCCAACAAGTATATTTTTACTTATGATTCATCAGGTTTGTGCGTGTTGAATCCATTGACCAGTGAAGTAATTTTGTGGACTAATGAGTTTAAAAATATTGTTGATGTGAAAGTAGTGAAAGATGTCATGTACGTTTGGATGGGTGATAGCAGGCTGCATGCTCTTTTGCTTACACCGATCGATAAATTCCTTGTTCGTATGTACCTTCAGAAGAAGTACATGTATTGTGCAGAACTGTGTGCAGCAAATGTTAATGTACTCAGAAAGGTAGCTCATGTATCATCAAAGATGCATATCCTCAGTGATTTACTTCAAAAAGTTAAAGATGAAGACAATGTATTAGATGAAGAAAGTTTATCTAAAGTTGAAGAACTTTTAGAGGAAGTTTCAAGGACAGCCCAAAATTGTGATCAAGCACAGATGCTGAACTCTGGCATATTCATTGTGGGAAATGCTCATCTACTCTCACAACAAAAAGATGAATTTATAGCACAAAAGCTGCCAAGTCAGACACCAGACACTGTGATCTTTTCTAATTTGCTGCTAAAACAGGAAAATCAGAGCCAAGTCAGCTCACCATTAGATAAGGATACTTTCAATGGTATATTCAAAAAAAGTATTTTACCATCAATGTCCTCATCGTTTTTTCCAGACCAACTCAATTTAAATGGTGACAATGACTATGATCCTTTTCCTGATTTGCCACTTTCTTCTCTCACTTCCACTGAAACAATGATGGCTCTGAAAAATTTAACCAGCTCAGTTTCAGGAACTATCAGTAATAGTACAAAGTCATTAAAGGAAAAATGGCAAAATCTTGAAGAGAAGTTAGGGTGGCAAGAAGAGATTGGTCTTAGTACAGAGAAGAGCATAAACAGACCAGACATCCAAGCCACAATTTCACCTGGCGATGTGAGGAATGACTTTGATGATAAAAATGAGCTAATTAAAACAAAGAAGAAGTCATCAAAACTTCCTGTTTCATCCTTTATGGAAAAGTGTTATCAAATACAAACTGAAGACTTGATGACTGTACAAGATTTGGTATTCGAAATGCTGGAATGTTTTGGTCTCTTGTATCAAAAGTTTAGATTGCACACTCAAAGTCCACCTGAAAGAACATCTAGTTCTATTTGTGAAAATGGAGAGAGCCCTAGCAATCATCACCAATGGCTAAATTCTAAAGAAATAATACCTTTCCCTTTTCAGGACCATTTTGAAAATGAATTTTTGACCACACTTAGTCAGATTTTCCACAGATGTCTAAAATATGGGTGTTTCTCAAACTGGTTAACGCAATTCCTCCCTTTCTTAGATCTGGATCATAGCCTGTTCCCATCTCACATTGGCCGTATCCATCAAAAGAAATCACTTCTTTTGGACCAAGCTCTTGGCCGTTCTCTGAGAATATGGAGTAACCTTCTTGATCCTCATTCTGCCCTGCAGAGCCTGGATGAAACTACATGTCCATGTCAATATTTTGCATGGAATGTCATAATGGACCACTTTCACAGTAGCCCTAATGTAACCTCTCTTTCCTTGGGCCAAGAAAGTCCTGATGGCTGGCCTCTTCCTCGTACTTTAAATGCCATGCTAGTCATGTTCCAGCTGGGACAGGTTGAGTCGTGCCGGAGTATTGGTGAACACATTCCAATCAAGCATGTTTTGCGGACAGTGCTGAGGATAAAAGAGGACCCATCTCGGTTGTGTTTGCTATTTCTGACATATTTTGAAAAAGTGCCAAAAGGGGAGATTCTTGTAAACTTTGAAGACCCAGAAATCTACTACTTTGTCAGACATGCATATGAGAACTTTCACAGGACCAGTGTCCAATGTCAGTGTAAATGTGGCTTTCCTCTTGATGAGATAAAATTAGAAAAGACTTTCTCTCAAGTAGGAAGGAGTCTGCTTTCTTACATTCATGAAACAGAGGGTTTGTCGGAAGCAATGTCACTATGTCAAAAGACAAATGTGTTGTGGTATCATCTTCTGATTCTAAGGTAAGAAAGAAAAAAAAATTCTTTTGTTTTTCAGATAAGTTTAATCTTGGGTGCTTATTCCATACTTAAACCTTTTTCAGACGCAATGAAGCTCTGGAAGAAGTATTACCCCTCATTTTACAACTTTCTTGTGAAGAGGAACTAAAGAACAGGCACACTGAGCTTTCCGATTCTGCTTGGAACTTATTACTTGAACTCAGAGTTAAATTACAGGAAGGTTATTGTCTTAACTGCGGTACGCTTCTCGGAAGGAAGTTGATTTCCAAAATAACTTGGATGACAATAGTTAACTTATTGTTACAAAATACAAGTGTTGATTTTGCACTATCTTTACTCTTGAAATTTTCACATTCAATACCTTCTGGAAGTTTAGACTTAGGATTCTACCAAAACTGCCTCCTTGCTTCCGTAGCTGAGAACCATAGCAAAGATTTAAAAAGTAACCTTCTTGATTCTCAAGTTGACAGCAAGTTGTTGCCTGTTATCTCATCAAAGGTTGGCACTTCTGTTGTTTGTAGTGTAAAATGAAATTTAATGGGTTTTTAAAAATCCTTAATAATAATTTTTTTTTCCCAGCTGGCAGAACGACTTGACTTACCCAACTGTCAGGAAAGACATCATTGGGGGCTGCAGGTCGACCTAGTAAAGAGTAATTGCATCTGCTGTATGCTGCCGCTGGCCTCTTCCTCGGGTGGTTCTGTAATTAGTTTCTACTGCAAACATTCCTTTCACTCAGTTTGTGTGGAGAAGCAGCTCTTAAATAAATGCCCAATCTGTACTAAAACTTAACAAGTTGTTCAGTTAACATCTAGTCATACTCCTGTGATATTGCAAATGTATGGTACTTTAATCCAGACTGTCAGCTGCAGAGGAGAAGAACTCTTTTCCTCTTGATAAGATTTTTTTTAATCTAGTTACCTCAAATGTTTAATCAAAAGCTTTTTAACCAGATTTATACAATTTATATATATGCATTAGTAATTATAATTGCAGAGCTATTGAATTCCCTGTCAAAATACTTTGCAGAAATTATCATCATTAAATTGTCTTTACCACTCTTGTATATAATTGTATGGTTTTCCCTCCTCTACTACACAGGCTAATATGTCTTCATGACGAATGGTTGAAACTGATATTTTAAGTTGTGAAAAGGGTAAAACAAATGCAGCTACTCTGATAATATAATTCAACAAGGAAAATCAAATATACCACAAGACACTTAGGGTGCCAGTATGAACATTTAGTCAAAAATCAATTGATAAAATTGAAAAACAAATAGTTTAACAGTAAACTACAAATAGAAGTACAATTTGGAGAAGAAAACAATTTAACAACACTTTCATGTAGAATTAAAAAACACAACTTAACATTAAACCATAATCTGAAATACATGGAATGCAAATGATGTTATCACTATTTTACAAAGACAATGGAAGGATTCTTTTAACAATAAAGGGCAAAGTCTTGTAAGGTTATGCCCACAACATAAATAAAGTGTCTCATAGAAACAAGAACACCAGGTATCACAAGAAGAACACAGTGCAAATTTGTTCAAACAAGATTGTGAGGTTTCTAAAACCTTTCAAATCATGAGCTTGAACTTCAATATTTATATACTCCGTGAGGTTGAATAAATAGCTTGTTCTAATGGGAAATTATTAAAGGTAAATTAATGTAATTACAAAAATTATAAATGTCAGAAAAATTGAACTGAAAATCTAGAAACTTTGGAATGGCCGTACAAATAAATGTGTATTGCATCTTATTTCTTTTGAGATCTTGCACAGCCCTCATAAGGCAAGAACTAGAGATCCTCGTGACCAAAATGGCAGAGTTCCTTTTAGTGAACCGTCCAAAAAGTCCTTAATCATTCTTTTTGTCTTTCACCTCTTTACCATGTGCATCAGTAGGTTTAGAGCTCTGACTTTCACCTATTCTGTTTTCCTCTTTATTTTCAGCAATCTGGTTTCCACTGATTACCGCCTGTTCACTTTGCTGTGGTTCTGCCAAATCTCTTACAGTCCCCTCTTCGAGACGAGACTGATCCACAGGATAAAGCCTTAGAAAGAAAATAGATGTGAGTACCTAACCCAAAAAACAACTTACTTCAGGGTTGTACTTTGTTATACTAACCAGCGCTGGTAGAGGTATATAAGGAAGACAATATCATCCCTGAAGCATGCAACTCTATGTGATGTTGGCATTGTTATGATGAATGCAAATATGTCATCAATAAATGTGTTGATTGCCTAAAGTACAGAGAGGATATTAGTGGTGGAAATCGAAAGTAGTAAAAATAAAACATTTACCAAGATATACCTTGTACATAAATGATCGCCACGGAATATGAGCCACTGATTTCAATCGATAGTTTATGAACAATTGTGGCAGCATGAAAAGGAATCCAAATGCATAAACTCCATTGACCAGACTATTGATCGTCCACGAATACCACCTAAAAATCATATTGTGATAAATTGGTTTCAAATTTTTTAAAAAAATCTATATATCCAAGGCAATAACACATACCCTTTGTGTGGCTCATAAATAAGTGAGTAGGCTGCACCAACAATGCAAAGAGGATACAGAAGATACATAAGATACTTCATAGCTTCAGCATCAAGCTTCTGAGTGAGTTCCTCTCCTTGAGATGACCGCTTCAAATGCACAGAGTACAAAGGTATGCCCCACCTCCTTTGAGGAACAATTGTTATAACCTTTTTAGCCTTCCAGAACTGCAAAAGCACTTTAATATTAAAAAACATACATGCAATTAATCACATCATAAGGAAAAGTTCAAGACATACCTCGAGTAATGTATTCAATCCAGAGGGAACCAACACCAGAAGGGATGTCTTTTCATCAAATAGGTAAAGAAACACCACAGCCTGACTGAATGCACGCCACAGTACAGACCTCCCAGAAACTCCACTAAGGTCAGTCCTCGTTTTCCAGTAGTTAATATCATGCCTCAGGGCTAGAAAATCTAATATAAGCTGTACAAAAATATAGATTTAGAATTAAATTCATTTTTTAGGCTTTTGAGCTGGAAGAAAGCTGGAGCTGTAGACAAGTAACACATACATGAAGAGATGCAACAACAACAGTGATAAGAAGTAGTATCATATTTGTATCCTCAAATATGCCTTTAATGTCATCTAAATCCTTATCTGAAAATCCCATGCTCTTCAATGATATCATAGAAGTTTCCATGTGAAGCAGGAATCTGAAAGCAATTGTTCACTTGTTAAATATTCAGGATTTTATTTAAAAACATTTAAAGGCAGCAAAACTGTACCCAGCACATACAGTAAAGAAAAAGAGTACTTACCTCATTTTCCCAAATGAAGTTGGTGAGTATGATAAAGTAATGTCTATGCTGTCTTTCTCAGGAGTTATTTCCTCAAGGTCTTTTAGGCGGGTTGCCATAAAGTTGTGTTGAAGAGGTGGCAAATACTCCAATCGAGAATTGACTCTATGTAAATAGTACAGCATTATTGAACGGGAGCAAAAATAGATTTAAAAAAACACATTAAAACCCCTACATTAGGACAATTAACTTACAAAAACATGTGTCGCATTTCTGGGGGTAGACTGAACTTTGGTAAATTGACATGGGTAGCCATCATATTCACAGCAATCCTTTTTTTCATATGATTAACTTTGACTTTTTTAACAGAAGCATCAGGGACCTTACTTTTGTCACCAGGCTAAACAAGGAGATAAAATGAAACACACACTCAAACAGTATTAAAACAAAATACGATGTGAAGTGAGGAGTCCAGCAAAGGAAATTAATGTCCACTCATAGCAAAGTTTTATCTTACTTTTCCTACAGTCTCTGATCCAAGAAGGTTGTATGTTTCAGGTGCAGGAACATGAAATTGTGTCAGTCTGATTCGAGCTGCGCTCTTCTCTGCCTCGTTCATTATGGTTTCGCCATTCACAAGGCCTGTTCTGGATGGCAGCACAAACACTGCTACATATACGGTGCCATTCTTTTTAACATTAGCTGGGACCTTGACTGGCTTTGTCCTAATTGGTATAAGCATAAGATCAAAAACTATATTATCTAATTTTAAAGATGTGTAACTAACATAAATAAACTGCACAAAAAAAATAATTTATAGGTTGTGAAAGTACTCAGTGCACAAGCTTACCATTCGGAAGGTTTGTCAAATTGGAGATTTTCTCTCCATATTGGTTCTTGTTGTGGGTAGAGACGTACATTTTTGTCTGTTAGAAAACCCACAATCTGAAGAGAAGCAGACAATATTAAAATCAAAACCTCTAATGGTTGCTTATATCCAGGAACATTAGTGTTTTACCCGTGCCTTACCATTAATCTATTTTTGGACAACAGAGATGAGCGGAGGCATGGCTCGCTGTCATTACATTCCGGTGGAACAAACAGAGTAGATAAAATCCACACGCAGTGCAGAATGTACACCACAAACAGGGAAACCACCAAAGTAGTTGCTGATGGGTATGTCAACATCTCAGCCTAAATAAGAAAAATAAACTGTCAATATATAAAACTGTGCAAGCAAAGAACAATATTTATCCGAAATTTTCTATTTATAAATGAGAACTCTGGAAACAAAGAAAAATAATCAGTGAAACACTCAAGAGATACGTTACAGTCCGCCGTTTGTTTTGACACATCCACTCTGCTACTCCCTAACCTCAGCCCTTTTCAAACTCAACCGCATAACGACCGACTATCGAGTATGAAATTTTTTCTTCGACAACTTGTAAAATAAAAGAAACTTACCCGCTCAGGTCCTAACGCACAGGACCAGCGGAGCGGACAGGAAATAAAATTATCCTGAAATTATCTGCCTGAAATGTGCGGCAGAATCACTGCAGTTTTCCAGCAGCCGACGAGACGACGACAGCAAAGGAAACAGTTGAACACGCATGCGTTTATGCAACACTTGAAAAAGAAACACACAAAGACGGTAGACTTAAATTATGGTTCTGCATTACAAGAATAACTTTTTAAAACTAGAATAATAAGAAAAGTATTAGTTTGAAATTTTGACTTTAAGATTTGAAAGAATTTTATATTATTATATGGGCTTTTGAGTGTTTAACGTTTAACAGCATGTCGAGGGCTACCGACGGATGGACGGACGGACGGACGGACGGACGGGCTTTTCGGAAACTTTCGCCATATTTATTTTTATTTGGATCGCAGCTTGCTTGACATGGCTCGGCTTGAAAGAGGCTTGACTTACAGTTCTATCCTTCACTTTTAATGTCGAATCTTCTACTTCATCCAAGCATTGTGCTTGTTTAGATAGTCATTGTTTTCATTATATTGTTAAGGCTTACTGGCTAGCTATACGTGATATCTTACCTTCCATCATGGCCAACGAAGATAACTCTTGGAGAACTGCAAGCTTCAGGCAAAATATTGTCAACAAAATGTAAGGAAGAAGCTACTATAGTCTCATGATGCATTATTTTTCTTAATTTTCTTGTTTCTTATTTATTTTTAGTCTTACTTTTTTTTTTTTGGATCCCGAAGAAAGGAATGTGGGTTGTTTATAGAGTCATAACCTCCATTTGCCTGGTTATTTCTTGTAGTTCATTCATAGCTGTGACAGTATGGACTAGGAACATGAAGTGGCTGGGCTCTCACGTGTGGAGGTTGATTGACATTAAATCTGCTGGTTTTAGGAACATCCTGGATTCTCGTTTCCCAGTCCTGTGCGAATTCTTCTTTCTCTCAGCGAGATGTTTTTCCATTTCATTGTACTTCTCACTGAGATACATACATAGCGTGCTATGAAATTATGTTAATTGTTTTTTCAGTGATGAAGCGATTCAGCAAGCTGGAATGCCCACCGCAAGGAATAGCCGAGAAATGGAAACGCATGTGTTCGAGAAAGCTAAGACTCGGGTGAGCCAATAATGTTCTAAAGTCATCAAAACGCGATGAAAATTGAGTGAAACGAAATTATCTAATGTAAGGTGTTATTTCACCTTATTTTCTTGCTCAATCGCAACTCATGGGGTTGTCAAAGTGGTGCTCACACCTATATTACAAAAGGTTTTGGGCTCAATGTTTGTCCTGAATTTTCAACAATTGGCCACACCTATTTTAATTTAGGACCTGTCTCATATCAACCTTTTATGTAGGTTTAAGTAACGTTATGCTCTGTATTTTGTGAATGCTAGGTGATAGGATTGGAGGCTTATGGTGCCCAAGGGGATCCTTAGGATTATATTTTTTTTCCTTTCCTTTGTTTTCTTTTTATTACTTTTCTTTTTTTTCTTTTGCTTTTTCGTTTTCATATTTTTACAAGCCATGTGTTTGTCTTAAAAGCATGGAGATTAATTGTTTTCTTTTTTAACTTCACTTTCAGGAAGAATACCTAGGTTTTGTCGCCCGATTAATCCTTCATGTGCGAGAAGTCAGTAAGTATATCTATGGGTTTATACATTTTGTCTTTCTCTTTGGTGACTTTCCATTTTCATCTGACACTTCTACATTTCTGCCCACTGTGCTGAAGTGATTATTTTTTTGTCACAAACTAATCATGCTTGTTAAATCATAAGGGGCATGTGTTTCTCATTATCTTTTCCCCATGTTTCTCTGTTCTGAAAAAAGGTATCAAGCATGCTGGTTTGCCTTAATTGTAAGTTTGTTGATTGCTTGTGGGAGGACGATAGCTTTTCCATGCCTTGAATTTCTCTTGAGGCCAAATCTAGCCTTCCGGTTATGTACTTTGTGACAATTAACATTAGAGTGCACCCTGATGATTCATCAAATGAAGCATGTGCCATCGCACTAACACGCAGACTTCAACCTAATACCTGCTAGGTAAGCTTTTTGAAGCAAATTAGTATACTATGACCACCATGTGTTAACCAATTTCATTTTCTTTCTCCCACCAAAAATATGCTCACTGCCTTTCCTTTGAAGTACTTACTTAATTTCAACTTTGCTATGTTTATTCATCTAAAATTGAGAAGTCAGACCTTTAATTCAATAAGAACTCCTGAGTGAGTGTGTTTGTGTGTGCGTGTGAGTGCTGTTAGATACACGTAGCTGGGAACACTTGGTGGAAAGTTGAATGTGCCATACATCATTGGAAATTGCTAATAGGCCGCAACATGATCGTGTTATGTGTTCTGTAGACATGAAGAAAAACGGAATGGTGAACGGTGTGGGCCTTGGTGTTGGGGGAATGGGAATTCTGCAGGGAATGCCTGATCCCATCAACGCGCTGCAAACTCTAGCCAGGCAAGGTACGCTGCGCTGGATACCTCCAAGCCTGATCATACTTGCATTGTAGATGATTGTAGACCAGCTGTGAAGTGTATCTGTACCTCAAATGTTTGCTTATTGTTAATCTCTCTAATATGTTTTAGAAACGTAGAGGTTAATTTTGGAAAAAGCACATTCAACTTTTTCACTTTGCCTTTCAGGTTAACTTCTGGTACAATATTCACATCAGTATTTGTTGCGTTAATGTTTTGCATGTCAAATTCTTTTGTTCTCTTTAAAAATGTATTCTCATATCTTAAAACCTGTGCTTGTTGAAAAATTTTCAATTTTTTTAAATAATCTAGCTTTGAAATGTTTTGAGACTTGTGGTACATATTGATCAGCATTTTCTTAGCTATTATTCAATGTTCCATTTATTTGCTTTGTGTTATTTTTATAACTTGTGAATTGGCCTACACCTACCCAAAAGCTGGACAGCAAAGAAATCGCTGGCTCCAAGTTGAAATTTTTGCCTCTAAAATTAACTATTTGTAACTAGTCCCATAATACATTACACTTAAAACTCACAGTATCTCACCTCAAACTTTGCATTACTGTATCATTTTGAACACATTCAAGAAGTTGATTCTTTGCATACCTTATGTTCATATTAGGGATAGATCCTACTTTGTTGTTGTTGCAAATTCCTTCTTGCATGTTTTGCCTTTGCATAACAATAAGTTGTGATAAAATTGCTTAAAGAGTCAGGTTAAATAGTCATTGAATGCCAGTTATAGTATTTTTACCAATATCCTTTTTTCAGGGACGGGCCTTGGTCAAGGAGGCAGCGGTGGACCAGGCAGTCTGCAGCAGGCTAATGCAACCACATGTAAGTCTGGGAAAAAAATGTGTTCAATTGGATTCATCTGCATATTTTAATTCTTCTCCACCCTAATGATTTTTTAGTTTATTTTTTAATATTATTTTGATATTGTTTTGATGCTACTTGTTGTTTGAGCTATAGTTGACAACACGAAAGTGGCACTTCAAATAACAAGTATCAGAACCATATTGTCAACAACTAAAGAAACAATTCCTCAGGGTGCCTAAGCTATTATGTATATCGAACTATGCTAACTGCTACGGATTTGAAAAATGTGCCAGGGTCAATAATTTCTACTTTCCCGTCATTGTGCTAACCCTGTTTCTCTATCCTTGCTGTTGACTTTCCTTCCATTGTCTGGGTAGTTTAAGTGCAGGTACTAATGAAGGGGTATTTTCTGCCAAATAATTTAATGTACTGGTTGTATTTTTATTTTTCCAGTGCTCCAGACTCTGAATCAACGCCCCAATATGCAGAGAATAGGAATGAACCCCAATGTCCAGGTAAAGTGCAGCTTTTTACATTCTTTCTTTTCTTTTTTTTTTTTTTTTTTATGCTAAGAACTATTTTTACTGATGTCCAATATATTTGATTTTAGGGGCAGCCAATCCCTGGACAGATGCAAGCACAAATGGGTGGGCAAATGGGGCAAATGGGTGCCCAGATGAACCAGATGGGTGGGCAGATGGGTGGCCAAATGGGCGGCCAAATGGGTGGCCAAATGGGTGGGCCAATGGGAGCTCAAATGGGCGGCCAAATGGGTGGACCAATGGGAGCTCAAATGGGTAATCAAATGCAGAGACCTATGGGCGGACAAATGCAAGGGCCAATGGTACAAATGACGGGACCTATGGGTGGGCAGATGAATCAAATGGGAGGACAGCTGCCTATGGGCAACCAAATGCAAGGACAGATGCAAGGGCAGATGGGTCCTATGGGCGGTCAAATGGTTGGACAGATGTCAGGCCAGATGGGCAATCAAATGGGTAATCCAATGTCAATGAATGGCCAGATTCCTAATCAAATGCAGATGAATGGTCAGATATCTGGACAACTTGGGGGGCAAATGGGTAATCAAATGGCAACACAGCTTGGTGGCCCAGGTGGACAGATGGGTCCTAACCAGATGAATGGTCAAATGTCAGCTCAGATGATGAGCCAAATGAGTAATCACATGGGCAATCAAATTGGTGGTCCAATGGGAGCTCAAATGAATGGACAAATTAATAACCAAATGGGCAACCAGTTGCAAACCAATTTGAGTAATGCAGGCCCTAACCAATTACTAAACCAAATGGGGCCTCAAATGGCAAACCAGATGGGTAATCAAATGCATGGACAGATGGGGGGTCAAATGCAACAATCCTCAGGACCAATGGGTGGAATGGGTATGCAAAATTCAATGGGTCCGCAAATGGGCAATCAAATGCATGGTCCTATGGGAAGCCCGCTCAATCCACCAATACCTTCACCGATGCAGACTACTATGCATATACCTCAACGCAAGGTACACTTTCATTTGCAAGCATATTGTGTGGTGGCTCTGTTGAGGCCAATTTAATATTAACTGTTTTCCGTTTTATCATATCAAATGTTATCTCTTTTGCTCAGGGCAACGAAAATCCTATGATGAATCAAAATCCAAATTTTGTTGGGCCTCGAAACGTTACACCAAATCAGTTTTTGCGGACAAGTCCCTCACCCAATGTGCAGTCGCCTGCTGGAATGGGAGCAGGACCGGCAAGGTAACGTAAAGTGATGATTTACAAGCTGTAAATTTTAACTGTTTCAATTCTGTACTAAGTTTGAATGACATTTCTAGCAATCAAATGGTATCATCACCTGTAGTTGGTCTAGCCCCATCTCCCAGTTCACAACTTGGGCCTGTTCCTGCACAGCAAAGGAGTGTCGGTGAGTCATAATTTCTCCTTAAACTTAAACCTCGTTCACAACTTTCAAAAGACTACACTCTCTTTTTAACATTTCAGGTATAGCGCTCTCGCCAGGTTCCTCTATAAATACACCAGGACAGGCACAACCGGCACCAAGTCCGTTAGCTCAGCCGTCACCTGATGATCAAGCTTACCGAGACAAAATAAAACATTTAAGCAAATACATTGAGCCCTTGCGTAGAATGATTGAGAATATGAAAGGTTTGTGTAATACTTTAGCTCAGAATTTTTTTCTTGCTACCTTTTTAAATTTTTGTTATCATAATCTTACTTTTACAGATGGTGAAAAGATGAGCAAGATGAAACAGCTTCTAGATCTTCTTTCCAATCCCGCTAAACGCACTCAAATAGAAACATTGAACAAATGTGAAATTGTATTGGATAAATTAGATTTTTCTAGGGTGAGTTGATGAAGCCTTATTCCAAAGTCAACATATTTTTACTGTTAGTTTTAATATATGTTTCTTTCCACAGTATCCTGAACAACCAGCTGCACCATCACCTGGTAGTAACTTTCCACCTGCACCTTCTATAGGTTCTCTAAAAGATAATGTTCTTTTTCGTCCCCTTTTGGAAGCAATGAGTACTACCCTTCAAAGCCCAATGGCCAATCACACTTTACAACGTACTTTTGGAGCTACAAATCAAGCATTGTTTGGATCTGATTTGAAGTGAGTATGATGTCCAATCAGTATTTATTTTAAAGGACAAGCGGGTTAAGTCATCTATCTGACTATTTGTTGGTATGTTGTGGCTTGTGTTCTCACAGAGTTGTGTAGCTTTGATTTTATTTGTAGTTTTGTGTTTCTTGAATGAATTTTAAAATATCCAATTTAACCTGGGTAGGTTGCTGCCTCCTCCAAAGAAGAAAAAAATTGAGGAGATTTCCTCAGATATACCCGAACTTCTTCAAGGAGAAATAGCCCGACTTGATCAACGCTTCAAGGTATTCAATATTTTTCTTTTCACTCTTATGCCCTATGAAAACATGATATTCTAAAATTTTATAATACTCACTCTTCATCAACTTTTGCAGGTTAGTCTTGACCAAACTCAACCGACCGGTGGCAATTCCATTCAACTGCTGTGTTGGCTTGATGATCGTCATCTTCCTTGCGTTCCACCGGTGTCCTTAACTGTACCTGATGACTACCCATCTTCTCCACCTCGTTGTGTCTTAGGACCCCATGATTATGGTGCTACAGAGTTTTTATTAGCAGTACAAAATGCATTAGATGCACGAATGAAGAAGCTACCCATTAGGTTTACTGTTTCTCAATTACTACACACATGGGAAATGGCTGTTAGACAAGCATCTGCCCCTTCCAATACCCAACCGAGTGCAACAACTGTGTTATTAGGATTGTGACAGCAGACTGGCACTGTAGTTTTTCAAATTGTTTACCTCAACATAAATACCTTAGTATTACAATGTTTTTCTTGCTGCCTATTTTAAAGCTTTTATAATGTACATAAAGTCATAAACTCATCATAGACTTAATGAAAACTCATCAGTGGTATAATGCAATTCCTAAAGGTAGCTCTTAAGTATGACTGACTACTTCCAGCAATCAGAAAGTGACACCAACCTGAAATTGTGAAAACATTTTCATTATAATTTGGTAGGTGGCGGTGGTAGTAGTGTACCATCTGGTCTTTCAAATATGATCATTTTTTTTTTTTTCCTGAGGACGACAAGGCTCTGTGATGTGATACTTCTAAATGGTCTCAATTCTATGACCACTTTTGATAATAGCTAAATTATGAATCAATCAACTGCCAATTTTTAAAATATAGTAATATTTTGTGCAATTTTGCATGTTTTGCAGTTCATAGGAAGATATTTTGGATGAGTTTGTGTATGTGAAGAAATTAACCAAAAGATCTTGACAAGAATTGTCAGTTGTGATTTGTCAAAATTTGTCTTCCTGTTGTATTGTTATTACTTGTACAAACACTTTAAATCAAATCTATCTAGATATTTTAAAGTTTATAATGTCTTCTACATTCTGAGACCTCTTCTGTTACCATATGCATGTGCAATACCTACTATAAATAACTGTTAGTCTGGATTTCAATAGAACTGACATTCCCAATTCATATGTAATTTCTTTTGGGGCGTAAGTTACAATCCTGACAATTAACCATAAAAAAAAGAACTACTCATTGATTTAGTGTAAAATTTTGTTAGTAGCATTTGAGACGTCCATTTTACAAGCATATACATATAGTGATAAGGCACTTGGCCATACCAAACCTCATATTTTTTAATTTTGCTTTCTCAAAAGTTGTTGTGTTTACCTCTCATATTTCCCGTTACTTTTTAACTCAACATAAAAAATGCCTTGTCAGATTTAATTGTTGTCTGATTTTCTCTTATATTACACAATACAGCCGTATTCTTGTGTTTACTGTTTATTATCTCGGTTTTTAAGAGAATATTAGTTACTACTTGCCCATCTCCGCATTTTTAAAGTAGTAGCAGTAGTAGTAGTATGGGCTTTTTATAAGTTGTGATCCTAATAAGAATTATACATTTTTGTGACCTATTGAGAGGACATGATCTTTCAACTCAATTGTAAAATGTGTTATTACAGTGGGTATATTCATTGACTATTTGCCCAATCTGACCTTAACTGATTTTTAAGTTAGTGTGGTATATCTTAGGCTCATGTCTAAGTTTAGAGACAAATCAGTGTCCAATCAATTGATTCAGAAGAAAATAAATGGGAAGCAGGGAAATGTACAGTTGCTGAGTACAGAAGTATATCTAGCCTGCAGAGGTTTTTAGCTGTAAGCTATAGTTCATCCATATTAGTCAATGTAAATACGGTAGGTGGACCCAAGGCATTTCATTCCTCTACTGTCAAGAATCACAATGAAGCAGTACTTTTTTCTGCCTCACGTGTGTTATAGTTTTCAGCTTTTATAGATAATATATCACAGATAGTACTATAGCAACTTTAATATTTATTACGACAGGTTTTACATTACGACAATGAAGTATGAAATCAATTAAATACTAGCATCTGTTAAATCAAATACTATATAAACTGAGAAGAACTATAACTAATGATGGAATCACTGTACTCAGTCTTGTAGCACCTGCTGTGATAAGAGAAAGGAAATAATGTTAGCCTCAGTGTTTCCATGAGCAAAATTATAGGAAGAAGCTTTGTGATGTCAAAAGCTTGGAGACATTAAGTTATAGTGTAAAAGGGGCGGAATGGCATCACCTTAACTTATTACAATGTTAAATAAAATGCATATCTAAATCTTGTTGTTTCTATTTTTTCAGTTAGTAGGCTACTACCGTGCTCGTATTGTGACTATATGCTGTACCGCATCCAGGTACCACACCCAGGCGCACGACTGCATAACTCCAAGAAGCGAAAGACCCCACCGGGATCAAAGAGAGACGGGGTCTCCTTGACTCAAAAGCGCTTGATTTGTTTGAAAAATGTCACTCTTGTCACTGTTGCGTACTTACATGCGGAGCATTTTCCATCGCCAAGGTCCGTGTATTGGTCCTTGCACCTACAGGTACCCGAGTAGCACTCAATCACACTCTGATATCCTTCCCCGATAAAACATTCGTTCGATTGCGTACACGCTGCGTGCAAAGCTGTTTCCGCGGAGGATAAGGAAAAGAGAATGAGTGAGAGCCCTTGTGCCGGGGACATCCCTTTAAACATTTTGAACAGCGCCAGATCGTTACCAATGTTAGCGATGCACCTGTCGTTGACGGCGTGCCTCCCCGGGACGCACGCGCACCTCCCGGACGTGCAGGCCACGCCCGAGCCCAGCGTCTCGCACTGCAGGTTGAGCTCGCAGGTGTCGTTGAGCCTCTGGGCCCCTGCCACGCACAAGAGGACACGCTCTTGTTAGGGGGTGGTACAGAATACAAAAAACTACACACGTCATTCGCATCAAGTGGGGTTCTTTTTTTCCCCCACGGCATTTCATTTTGAAGTCATGTCATTAGTCGTGATGATCATTTCACCCGCGAACAGGCGCCCATACAGTGATCGTCACGCAAGGGGAGCGTTGTCCCCGGCCGCACTAGGCGAGCTGCACTTTTGAGTCGTGCCACAGGCGCCCGGGCGGGCCGCCAGCTTCACACAGCTGCTTGGCGGGCTTGCAAACCCAGCGCGTCGCAGGCGCTATATGCCGCGTGAACCGTGAGCTGTGGAGACTTTTCTTTTGCAGGTAAACGTTGTCGCCCGAAAGTGTGTGAATGTCGCACACTTGTAGATGTGTGAATGCCAATTCGTACACCTACCTAGGGGCGCGAAGGTGTAAACTTTCCTTTACAATACACACACCTCCACGTGTACGAATGTCGTTTCCACGCGCCTACAAGTGTGCGCGGCATTCACACACTTGGGTTGCCAGTGCAGCCCTCTCTCTCTCAGTACCGCTAACGCAGGATCCGTCTGCCGATGGCACGTAGCCGCTGCCGCAGTTGCACACGTCCTGGTCGCAGCCCGCCCCGGGCCCCAGCCCCGAGCAGTCGTACTTGCTTCGGCACGGGGTGCCGATGGCTGGAGGGGCAGAGCAAGAAAGTAATGCATCATCGTCATCATATCATCGAGTCAAGAGAACCCCCCGCACAACGTGGCGCACGACAGGCCCAATAAAAGCGGCGACTCACTGGCCAGGCAGCTGCTGCCGTCCGCACTGGCCCGGTAGGGGAGCTTGCACTCGCAGGTCTGCTGGCCCCGGCAGTAGGCGTACTCGGGGCAGTCCTCGTCGTAGTCGCAGGGAGCGCCCACGCCGCCGCCGTCTGGAGAGCAGCGTAACGGTAGGCAGGGCTTTTTTAGCAATTCGAATTTTCCGGCAAAGTGTTTCGAAAAATTTATTTTTAAAATTCCATAAATTTTTCCGGAGAAGTTTCATTTTCTCCGAGTTTTTTTTTTGAAAAAGTTTTTAAATTTTCCTGAAAAATTTTGGAATTTAAAAATCTCTAGCCGGGGTAGGCCGTTGCTCCTCGCGCTACCACATACCCAGCTCCTCCCTGTAGTCGGGGTAGTCTGGCGCCCGGAGCCCCGGCCCGGGCCCCGCCCGGCCCGGCCAGGACGGCGCGCCCCGGGCGGACCCCGGAGGGAAGGCCGCGACGGGGGGCCGCTGGCCGCCGTAGGCGCGCTGCGGGTGTCCGAGATGGGGGTCGTGCTGCTCCTGGGGGCGGCCCGCCAGGCGCCAGGACTCGGGGGGCGGCGGTTCGGCGAGCACCACCTGGTGGACGGCCACGAGCACCAGCACCAGCCACAGCCACACCGGAGAGGCGGTCAAGGCCGCAGCAGCGTCGGCACGAGCCATGTCGAGTACTACCGCCGTCCTTGGGCGCATTCACATGCTGTTGCACACAGGACGCGGCCGGGACGCGAACACGAGGCGGATCCTCTGGGACCGATTGACACACTGAGGGCTCGGCGGGCTCCGCACCTCCGGGTCCGCGGTGCTGATAACACTGCCGCGACGCGACTTGCGGGCCGCGCCCCGCGCGCCAGGTCGCCGTGTAATCCGCCAGTATCTCTCTCTCGGCCGCCTCCGCTCGGAGTCCTTTTGTCCCGCAGGTGCGGCAGGTGTGGCAGGGCCGCGTCGCGAACGCAGCCCATTCCAACGTTTTTTGATCTTATCGGCCGTTGTTATCGCTCCGTACGCACCCGCCGGGGCCGGGCCGGGCCTGGGGCGCGAGCGAAAGCGTCTTCTTTGTCCACAAACGCCACCCTGCTGACCAAGCCGCGGGCTGGCGCTCGCGTTTTCTCTCGTACACTTCCGGCTTGGGGCACGCCGCCGGCGCGGCCTACCGGCGGCGTGGTCCGGCCGAAACGGAACAACGAGTCGGGAAGGAACGACACAACAAATTAACACGACAGCTATGTACTTTATTACGCCCTGAAGCGGATGGCAGTGATTTACAACCACGAGAGAAATTAATTTGTTCATTTTAAATGCACCGAGACACACGGCTCATATTTCACACCCACAAAAAAAAAAAAAAATTATCACTTCTTTCTTCAAATAAATTCATGACATGCACTAAAAGAGTTTCAGAGAACAATAAAGTCCATAACCATCCAAAATATTTTCAACCCATTAGCATTGCTTTAACAATACAACATTTCAAGTATTAAAATCCGATGAGTCTAAGTTCTAGATACTGAATCAATCAGACATTTCCACATCATTGTCTTCTTCATCATCGTCATCGTCATCCTCATCACCATTGCTGTCAGAGTCTGAAAGCTCTTCCCAGTGGTCATCACTTTCACTGCCCAATCCTCCAACGTCATCAGCATCATCATCATCCGATGTATCTGGAAATAGTAACAGCTTATAGAAACATGATTTTTTGCAATATTTTGATATACAGAATTAAATTGCAGAGGAAGCCTTTACCTGCATCTTGATAGGTGAGTAAACCAGGTTGCATATCTAGAGGTGTGGTATTTTCATCTGAACCAGTTGCTCCATCAAGCTGAGAAGATATGAGGTCAAGACGGCCACTAAGGCGGCTCAGTGAAGGTAGTAATGAGAGTCTGAACTCTACTAGTCCTATGACAGGAGCTAATAATTCCACTAAAGAAGGATTAGCCATCAGATGTGCAGCATGAGTACTTAATACAATGCGAAGCCATCTAGCTCCAATTTGGGCGCTGTTAAAAAACGTAAAAAAAGGTACTAAAATTGAAAATCCATCAGGAAAACCAAACTGACATAAATACTAATCAAATAGACACTTACGTGGCAGTTTTAGCATGAAGTAAAGTAGTTAACTCTTTCAACAGGGGTTCTATCACTTGAAGAGGAAGCCTTCTTACAGTATTCCTAATGACATCTTCTTCTCTTCGGCAGAGCACAGTTTGTAACATGGTTTTATCTTTACTTTGTAATGCCTGTAAGGATAGAGAACAAAATTAAAACAGTTTCAAGACAGATATAAAATTTTATTATTTATTCATGTCTGGCCATACTTGGAGCATAAGTTGAGCTAAATTGTCTGCCCTGGGTAAGGCGGTTGGTCTATCATCAGTGCGAGCCATTGATAAAGAAAGGTTCTCTAGGCGTTCTTCCATTGGAACTTCAGTTTTACGACTATGAGACCTTTTAACACCAGACACAACAGCATTTGAAGAAGTAGGTAGTAAGTAATTTGCTTTTGTGGAATCAGGTACTTTAGCCTAAAATGAAAAAGAAAATTAGTAATACTGCAGAGTATATTGCAGAACCCCTCTCCAGTACTACTGTCTGACCTGAGTAACATCAGACGATGACTCCAAAACAGCTCTTCGAGGGTCTTGTCTGACAAGAACTTGAATTTTCTCAGAGCAGTTTAAAACCTGGTGGAAAAAATTAATTCATACAAATAAAAGCCTGAAGAAAATAGATTTTTGAGATGTGCGATGGATGTAAAAAAATTATACTTACCACATTCTCAAATACCAGGAAAGTTCCTGTACCATAACCAATTCGCAGTTCCTCTTTAAGAATGTATACAGCTGAAACAATTGGTATGGGCTCAACACTTTCCTTCCCTCTAGCAGAATCTGTTGCAGTTTGCACCGTGAGATGAGGTTTCAGAGGCTTGGGACAGAGTCTAAAAACAAATTTGGCTTTCAGAGAAAGAGTTGACAACTCAAAAACAAAATGTTTACAAACAAACCTACCCATTTAATTGATGATTAAACATTTGTACAACTCCAGTTTCTGTCACAGCAGATAAAGAGACAGCACCATTTTCTTCATCTGCATACAGGGAAACTGATCCAACAGGTTCACTTTCTAGGACCATGGCAACAACTGCACTTTTCTCACTATTCTTTTTATTAAGGGACCTAAGTAGAAAATAATTAAAAGTAATTTCATCGATTAAAAGGACAAATAAAAATTATAGGTACAATTATTAATTTATTTATTTTTGTAAAAACCCTTACCAAACATTTATGTAACGATCTCCTTTAGCTGTACTAAAAAAGTAGAAATCTCCATTAAGAGCTGCCTTAGATATGAATGTCAGAGAAAGCACAGGAGAGACATGACCCGTATAGGTTTTTAGGAGTTCATGGTTGGCAGAATCCCACAGTTTTATTGATCGGGCAGCTGATAACACATATTTCCCATCTGGAGATACCAAAACACAGCCAACTTTGTCTCCTGTCTTCCATTTGCTGAAAATTTACAAAATGTCAAAATAAAAAAGGGAAAAATTGCAGGCCAGAGACAGGAGAGTACTTCTTTCTTTGGCTTATACCTTTTTACTTTCTTTCCAACAATATCCCATTCAGCAATAGTAGAGTCTCCACAGCTGTACAGACTTGTACCGGGATACCGGCTGAGACCAGTAACAGGTGAATTTCTGTGTCCTCCCTCTAGCTGGGCTTCGACGCCAGCAGAGGCCAGGCTGTACAGCAAAATGCGGCCATTGGAAGTGCCCATGGCAATGATGTCTGACCCAACATCTCTTGACTTCCTCCGTTTTTTCTTACTGGGAGTTCCTGAATCCTGGAGAATTAACATGGAGAAGTGGGTTCATTCACCATTAGTTAATACCAACAATGAGTGAAGAGAACTCTGTGAGGTGTCTGATTTACAGTAAAGATTTTCAAACAATACAAAATTCATATTGAAGAGTGAGATGTAATTAAGAACATTCACCAAGATCTAATTTTTGGAAAAGCATGACTTAAAAAACGTGACAAGACTGAGAATAGTGTATGGATGACATATAAGGCTAACGGTTGCATTGGAAAAACAGAAGGTTAAGAAAATGTAACCTAGAAAAAATCAACAAGGTATAGTCGGAGACAAGCAGCAAGCCTAACTCCGATGGCAACAGAAATGCTTTAGAAAAAATACAGAGTATGTTTTTCTAGCTCGACGCGGTCATGATTGGATATTTAAAATAAATTCATGGCAGTTTCATGCCGTCCACACTGAACCACATGGCTTACCGGGTCGTTCGATGTACACAACCATTTGAGGCAGGAGCAAGGTGATGTGAGGTGCAAGTTGGGAGTATATTCTTGAAGTAGGACATTTTTCTGAGTGTCCCAGATCCTCAGCTTCCCGTCGGCGTCGCAAGCAGCATAATGTTTTGCGTCCAAAGAAAAGGACGATGTACTGGACGACGCCATGATGTTGCCGTCATGTGTTGCTGTCTGCGGCGTGTGCGTGTGCGTGTGTTGTGCTGGTGTGTGTGTGTGCGCGCACACGACGCACCAAACGCCATGAGAACTTTATGTGTACGTGTCACAGGTGTGCCATCGCAAATAAGTACTAGTTGTACCTTTCTAGGGGTGGAGAATCTTATGGATCTTACACTTATTTTTCTCCCCGCCTGCTCATACGTCTGTTTTTCTCTCGCGCTCGCGCAGTGTCACTAGCTCGCTCGAAATCTTTGTCTTTCATTCACTTCTAGTGTTCACCGTATGATAACACTGATGTACTCGGAATGGCGGCACTTTTAAGTAGGGCAGGAGGTACGTGTGTGAACAAATTTTATCGTGGGATTAACTCTAAGTTCGTTGAGGTCTTTGAAGCACATGAAGAAAAAGAGAAGAAAACTGAAAGGACTTAAAATTTTATTTAACTATCCTGAAAGTTTATTGAGATAATTTTCAGTATACCCTACTAAATCGAGATAAATTTTCATTCCCAGAATCGTCCCAAACTTTTCTTTGAGGAACGTTGTCTCGGAGTGCCTTCTCCCAGTCACCAGTGATTTTAACGTCAAGGAGAGTTTGAAAGCACTGAAAATAGGATAGGAAATTTTTGAGACATTAAAACAATAGAAAACAGCTTCTTAAAATTTCTTTATGTTCTCACCTGATGAATGCAAAGGCTCTTTCCTCCTTTCTTCCATTTCATATACTTTCCTAGAGGCAGGGAAGCAGAGCGTATTTTCTCTTTGGCTGCTTTTTTGTTAGACAGAGCCAACCCCATGTCTTTGTCTACCAAAGCACCCAAAATATAAATGTCATTTGGATTATATTCAACTGTTGCTGTAGTATGAGGGCTGAGATACACTAGATTCCTCCTGTCAAAAAAATGGAAATTTTTAACTAATGCCAAAAAAATAATATATTTCTACAGTCTTTTCAACAATACCTTTCAAAAACATCCAAGTATGAACCTGAGTGCAGGCTAACAGGTGTATCAATTTCAAACTTAGGATGTAATCTCCTAATATAATACATCAACCGACCATCTGTCTCTAAATTGCATAAATGCAAAGAGAAAGGTCTTTTAACTGATCTGTTGTATACATGACAGTACAAAATTTGTTTGGCTGTGTGTTTGATCCGCATGTCATCCATCTGTGAGTCATACGAGCAATCTATAACAATTTTCTGACCTTCATGCATTGCCTGAAAGAAATGCATTGTTTGAGTGGTAATGGTTTGAGATATGGAAATTAAATTGAAATACTCAAATACTTACCGTCCCAACCCAACAATCAGCAAATGTAACAATGCTTCTTTTAAAAACCCGAGGGAAAAGAGTATTATTATAAAGTGCATAATTCAACCAAGGGTGCTCCATTTCTGATGCAATTTTTGCTCTTTCTTCCCTGATGATCTCCAACTCGCTTAATCTTTCATCTTTCTCTTTCATTTCAGAAATCTTCTTTTTAAGCGATGAACGTTTAATAAGGTAACGCAACTTTTTTGATAGTTGTGACTGACCCAGGTCTATCATGACTTTGAGATCTTCCATCCTAATCTCTTGGGGCAACACCTCACCGTGTTCTTTCTTGATATAAAGTCTCAACATTAATTCTGATAACTTTCTCTCCTTTACAGGATCGCTTTGAGTGACAGCTATTTCTTGCTCCTTGGTCAGTGTGTACGGAGTTGGCTCTTCTAGTGCATTTAGTACGATTGACTCCATCTCACTGGGGTCCCCTGAGGGGCTGGAGGAGGTCGTCGAAAAGCTAAGCTTCTGAGCAGCAGCAGGCCTCCAGCGGCAGATGTAGTTTTCCCGCAATGGATGGCCGCATTCCCGGCCGTGGGTCGACCCGAACATTGCCACTTGCCTCAGAAGCGCCCGGGCCCACATGTTATGGCAAAGACGACTAACCAAACCGGCAATGACAAACTTTTACCGGATCAAGGTAATGACTCAGTTCAGGGAACACACCGACTTTCTGGCCACGACTTCTCTCAATCGAATTTGACAGCCGATTGACGCGAATGCTTTCAATCAATGAATTGAATGAATGGAGTCAGCATCAGACACAACACAACAACGGGTCTGACTGCAGCAGCAAGCAGACAACTACAGCGGCAGTGCTATTCGCACGACATGACATTATCCGCCCACGGCGATATGTGCCGGCCGGCTACAGACAGTTCAGACAGTGCGCCGGAATATTTCGAAGCATCCAAGTAGCTTCTCAAGCAAGTAGCTAGCCCTTGGCTAAATGCCCTTCGAGGACCTTATCAGGTGTGGGACGACCTACAATCAGCTACTTTTCTAGTAGTGCATTTCACGAATCGCAGCATTGGCGCTTAAAATATGAAGAACTTATCCGAGCACATTTGTTCTGTTCAGGGATTTTTTGATTGCTGAGTGATAGAGAACACGGTTTTGTTAAAATGACCAAGACGGTTGTGCAAAGTCTGGAGCCGGAGCTTGAAGCTCACATGGACCCTAGATCCGGAGCCGGGAGCCTCCAAAACCTGGAGCCGGCAGAGCCTGGAGCTTGGAGCCGGATCCTGGACCCGGAGTCTGGAGCTGGAGATTGGAGCCGGAGCCATGGAGCTGGGAGCTGCGGACTGGAATCAGAGCTTATTGGAGCCTGATGCTGGGGCCCTGGAGCATGGAGCCGGAGCCGGAGACGGGGGCCGGATGCTGAACCTGGAGCCATGGAGCTGGGAGCTGCGGACTGGAATCAGAGCTTGGAGCCTGATGCTGGGGCCTGGAGCATGGAGCCGGAGACGGGGGCCGGATGCTGAACCTGGAGCCTGGAGCTTGGAGCCGCGGACTGGAACCGGAGCTTGGAGCCGGATGCCGGATAGCCATGGTCGGAGCCCCTGGGCGGAGCGGGGTAGGCAACGCCGAGCCACGCGTGCTCGCGGGGTTGCCTACCCCGTCCTCGCCGGGCGCTGTCCCCAGCCTCTCCCGGTAAGGGCGCGTGTTCGGGTTCCTCGATGAGAACGATCATGGAGGGGAGCCCCGGGAGCCGTGGCACGGCAGGCAGAGGCGGCGGCGGCCAGGGCATGCGGGACGTGTATCTGTCAAGGGCACAGGCGGTCCACGACGGGGAGGTTGTGGTGGGGGCAGTCGGGGACGGATATGCAGGCGCCAGGCCATCGGCAGAGCCATTGCTCATCGGCTACGGCTTCCTGTGCCCCGCCGCGCCCCGCCTCACCGAGTCGCCTGAGGCCTGTGGCGCCGCCGCCGCCGCCTCTGGCCTCTATAGGTTTCCGCGGTGCATGTCCCGCGCGCTCTCGTCGTAGAGACAGGGAATTCCGGGGGGAATTCAAGCATGGTTGGGCGTCGTCGGCGTCGGCATAGCAGGGGGAAGGGGGCGGGACACGACATCCTGCGCACCGCACGGCCGCTCGAGGTTTACATTTGCCCCCTCTTCCTCCCCCACTGCCACCCCACACATTACTCTGGGGCACAATCTCTGTACACCGGCCGCGAGAGTATGTTCCGCCCGCTGACGCGCGGGGGGCGTATACCCGCTCTCAGTGCCCCCCCCCCTTCTCTCCCTCCCCCGGCCGGCACCAGATGTGTCCGCATACCCTCT